TAAAATCAACCCTCCTAAATACCTTACTCTATTCCTGAGTATTATTTTTAACATTTATCATTGACTAAGTTAATAACTTTATTTATTTATCTAGTTTATGGAGGTAAATATTTACCTCGTTTATTCTTAACATTTACCATTGACTATCTTAATAACTTTACTTACCTTATTTACCTCATTTATTCTCTTCCTCTTTCTGTACACTTTCCAAGTTAGATGTTTAATAAATATTTTTAAGGAAATTATTTTAGCAGCAGCCAATATTCTACTTAAGAAAGAACAAATTAAAATAAGGTACAAGAAAATGACACCTATTTTTACCCCTATTTTATATACTAGAATTTCTACATATGCTATAATACAAAACAATGACATATAACAATTAGAAGGGAAGAAGATAAAATTTGTTTTTATGGTTATAACCATCTTATTATATAACATAACTTTTGTACAACCTACAAGATAGAATTTTACAAAGCTATTAAAATTAATTAGAGAATTCAATAAGTTGGCCAATTATGTATATACTAGTAGCCCAATGCACAAAAATTTGTGCACTCGGGGGTGAGGGTGAAGAGTGGGACCAGACCCCTCGGCCCGACCTGCACCCTCTGTCATGTTCTGGGACCCCGGCCACTGCTGGCCTAGGCACAAATCTACAGGCTTAGGCAGCCTGGCTCCTGGGGCCCCATTTTAGCAAGAGAACAAAGTTGGCATTAGTTATAGCCCTCACAGAACCCAGTACACTGCATCTGTGCATACAACTGCCTCGTTCATGTGCCTGCTTCGCCTACTGAATTACAAACATCTTGAGGACATATTTCTGTCTTATCCTGCTTCACATTCAGTGCCTGGCCTGGTGCCAGGGACCTGAGGGGGTTTGCTGCGTGAGTGAATAATGAGTGAGTGCATGAGTGAGTGAATGAGTGAGAGAATGAGGAGTAAGTGAATGAGCAAGCAGCTACCAGTGGGATAGTTCCCACTCTGCTCTGAGCTGCCTGACACCAAGCCTGGGAAGTTCCCGCCCTGCTCCCAGCGGCCCCACTCCCCTCTCCTGGGTGCATAGTCTGTGCAGGGCAAAGGCTGCCCGGGTGTGCGTTTTGGCAAATCAGTGCTTTAGCACCTGCCAGCCTGGGACCCCAGCAAAGGGCCATTGGTGGGCGTGGCCAGTGGCAGATCAGTGCATTAGCACCTGTAGGCCAGGGATCCCCCTGAAAGGCTGTTTGTGGGCGTGCCCAGTGACCAATCAGTGCATTAGCACCGGTCAGAAAGGGATCCCCCTGAGTGCTGTTTGTGGGTGTGGCCCATGGAAGATCGGTACATTAGCACCTGTCGGCTGGGGATCCCCCCCTGGAGAGCTGTTTGTGGGCATGGCCAGTGGCTGATTGCTGGGGTTCTGCGCCAGCCCTCGGTCTGTTCCCATATGGGCCACCTGCCACCTGGGTCACAAATAGCAGGCCCGGATGGCAGTGGGGCAGGTGGGATGGTGCTGTCCCGCCCTGCAGTGTGCAAATTAGCCGCTATCTTTGTTAGTGGTTAACCGCCATCTTGGCTGGTGATTAATTTGCATATCTCGCTGATTAGCCAATGAGAAGGGTAGCGAAGTTACAGTTAATTACCATGTTTCTCTATTATTAGATAGGATGTACACAAACACACATACATATGTAATATTTAATATGTATATATATATATATTTGATATCATGCTATAGTCTAGAATAAAATAAAACATTGGAATACCAGTATATCTTATTGACAAGAGCATGCAAGATCTATAATAATAAAAGTGTAATATGCTAATTAGACCAGAGGTCCTTCTGAACAACCTTCCAAATGAAGCTGGGGTTGCAAGGGAAGCCCCAGTCCTGGGTGCCTGCCTATATACACACACATATATAGTGTTGTTAGATAAAAGAGAAAGCAAAGTAAATTTAATGAAGAAAACTTTGAAAACTTAGTGAGAAACAAAAGAAAGCATTGATAAATGATGAGAAATTTTAATATTATTAAGCTATCATTATATGCATATTAGTTCAGTATCAATTTTTGCCAAAATAAGTTCCAGATCAATTACACTATGAAGAATTACAAGATAAAACCAAAATAACTAAAGAAGACATTAAGTTGATTATTTCTCCAAACATAAGATGAGGGTAGCTATCATCAACATGAAAATAAAGAAAGAAACCACAAAGGCAATTCTTGATTATTGAAACTATATTTTTAGCTTCTATTTAAAAATATTGTTAAATAAAATAAAGACAAACAGAAAACTAGAATAAATACTTGTAACATCTGGGAAAGCCAAAGGTTGCTTATTCCTATTGTGGAAATTATACTTCAAAAACAATAAGAAAAATATGCTTACCTACTATGCCAAAGAAAATAGACATTCACACACAAAAAAAAATTAAAACAGTCCAATAACATATAACAAACCTTTTGCTCTTGCTAGTAACAAAGAAATAGGGATGAAATACCCAGTTTTGCTGCATTACATTGCAAAGAGCGCCCGTTCGCTATCTGTGGGAATATAAAGCAAGACTATTTTGGGGAAACATTCTGGCAAAGCATTTCAAAACCTGATATGAGTTTATAAAATCTACCTCATATATTTATTTTGAAATGTTTTTGAAGAAAATAATCATCATGAGATAAAATATGTTTTACTGTATCTAGAATTGTGAGAAGATGGAAAGAATCTATATAAGCCTATATTTTGAGGACTACTCAAGTGGAAAATTCTCATGATATAAAGTTGAATGAAAAAGTAGACCTCAACATTGTATTTATTTATTATCTTCTTTTTGTATAATACAAGTATATAATGAATATCAGATATACATGCTATTATGTGAGCATCAAATGGAAATTATCTTTAAATATTTTTATATACTTTTTCTTCTATCGGCATAAATTTACTAAATTATTAATTTTTTTTGAAAAAGAGGTTTATACATACATACTGAGTTGGGTTGGGGGAAGATGAAGAATAAAGCTGGTGGTGTGCTGCTTCCATCCTAAGAAATGATGGTGTTAAGTGGAGTGCTTAAGAGGAGCAAGTTAGGAGTCAAACTATCAGGCTCAAATCCCAATCACCTTCCTATAAGGAAATGTGAACTTGAGCAATCACTGAATGTCTCCACCTCAGCTCTTTTAACTATAAAGTGGATGATAAAAACAGTAGCCTTATTGAGTTGGAAGGGCTGAAATAGTTAATACCTGTAAAGTCCCTAGAATCATCTTGAGACAGAGTAAGCGCCACATGCGTGTTCGCTATTATCATCACTGCTAGCACAACTCTACAGAACTGAAAGAACCCTCAGGCCATCATTCATTCCAATCCCCTAGGTCTAGTCTCAATCTTGTGCTTTGAGTAGTTTTATATTAAGGAGTGAAAATGTGTTATGAACATTATGCCACAGTGGTGAGTGGCATATAAGTAAAGTCGGATCAAACTGGCAGCTAAGGTTCAATTGCTCTGTGAAACCAAATTTGTCTCAAAGGAAGAATTTTTTAACAGATGTCTGAATACGATGGAAGTTGGATGATGGACTATTATTACCAGACTTTATAATATGTGGTTCAATAGGCACGAACTTGGTGATAAAATGAGGATTGTGGGAAGGTGCAGCTCGGTGGGAAAAATGCCATACTGGAAACAGCACA